CAGCTGGGCCCAGCGAGGGGCGAACCGACCCGAAAGGCGCGAGGCGGCCCGCTGAGGCCCACCCGCCGCAGCGCTCGCCACGCCGCCGCCGCCGCCACTGCCATCGCGGGGCCGCTCCGGAGAAACGCTGCCGGGCCCGCGAGAGGACAAGCGGCCAGCCGAGGAACTGGGAGAGGGAAAGGACGAGCGAAAGAGAGGGAGAGGAGGAGGAGGAGGCGGGCCCAGGCTGGGGTAGGCCGGGCCCGCTTCGGCCTGGCCAGCGGGGAGGGAAGGATGGAGGAAAGGCAGGCGGCGAGGGCCGCCGCGGGTGGCCTTGAATGGCGCCGGCTTCTTTGGAGTCAGGCCTCTTTGTCAGGGCCTGGGTGGAAAGCGTGAGGTGAGCCCACGGCAGAGTACCTCTGAGGGCGTGCAGAGTGTGCCAGATCGTCAAGAGCCGTCGTGGTGCAGGGGTTAAAGTTAGGTGGGGTCGCCGAAGCAGCAGAACAAAGTTCGAGTCCAGCAAAGTTTTACTCAAGGTATGAGCTTTTGTGTGCATGTCTGCTTGCACACAAAAGCTTATGCCACGAATATAACTTTGTTGGTCTTAAAGGTGCCACTCCGAGTTCCTAGCCTCCAGGTGGTGGCTGGAGATTTCCTGGGATTTCAACTGCTCTCCAGGTGACAGAGATCCCCCTGAAGAAAATGGCTGCTTTAGAAGGTGGGCTCTGTGGCACTGTACCCACAGAAGTTCCTTTCCTCCCCAAACCCTGCCCTCCCTAGACTCCACCCCCAGAGTTTCCAGGAATTTCTCACCCCAGAGCTGTCAAGTCTAGTGCCACGGGACTCAAATTGTGTTGAGGTTAGAATGTCAGACTGGGATCTGGGAGACCTAGGTTCGAATCTCTGCAGTGGGAGCTCGCTGGGTGGCCTCGGGCCAGGTGCTCTCTTCTCTGTCTCATCTACCTCACAAAGTTGTTGTGAGCATAAAATGCAAGAAGGGAGAACCATATTTGCTTCCTGGAACTCACTGAAGGAAAGGTAGCATAAAAACATGCTACAGTAAATGGATATGTTTTGTGGAGTAGAGGGCTCTGGTAATGCCAGTCAGTTCTGTGCGACACATGAGTGTTGTGTGTGTGCATATATTTTTGCCTGTATGTTTATGTGACACACATGCATCACGTGTATTCACAAGCATTGTGGACACATCCCAGTTATTGGCGTTGCCATTTCTGTGTTTCACTCAGGCTTAGGCTTGCAACAGAATTTATTTAGATATCCAATCTAAATATATATAACTAGGAATAAGGCCTGTTGTGGAAATAAATACAATAAGCTCTAGAAAGAGGCTCTGGGAGAGTACCCCAGCCTTGGGCCTTCAGCGTCAATTTGCTGTGGTGACCTCAGCAGGGTATAATGACACAGAGTCCACCATTTTCTCCAGAGGAACTGATCTCTGCTACCTGAAGACCAGTTGTAATTTTGAGTGATCTCCACCCCTCACCTGGACATTGGTTCCACCTGGAAAAAATGGCTACTTTGGAGGGTGAAGTTTATGGCACTGTACCTGTCTGAGGTCCCACTCCTCCTCAAACCCCACCATCTCCAGGCTCCACCTCTCAAATCTCCAGGAATTTCCCAACCTGGAGCTGGCAACCCTATCTCCTTCCCAGCCAACCATCAACCTACCTTTTTCTGCCCCTCTGACTTCAGCTTTCCATCTCCTCCCCCCTTTCTCCTAGAGACCAGTTGTAATTCTGAGTGATCTCCAGCCCTCACCTGGAGATTGGCAACAATGGTTCCCCAGGAGGAAATGGCTAGTTTGGAGGGTGGAGTCTATGGCATTGTACATGTCTGAGGTCCCACCCCTCCTCAAACCCCACTCTCCAGGCTCCACCTCTCAAGTCTCCAGGAATT